ACTTTTATCCGCGTGCTCTTTTCCACAGGTTCATTTCTCCCATTGGACGTCGGAGCTCGGTCGGTTCGGGGTGGAGCTGCTGGAGCCGAGAGGGAGAAAAAAATGTGAGGCGTAAAAACAAAGTTCGACTCCAGACTTTTAGTTTGTAAAAGTTCTGATCAGCAGCAGCAGCAGCTCTGCTCCACGGCTGACGGAACCAAACAGAACCCAGACACAGAGAGGAACCGAACCTGCGCTCGAGCTGACAGTCCCCGCGCCGGAGAGACGGTTTGGAGAGGTTTGGAGAGGTTTTACGCACGGCGCAGGATGCAGGCGCGCTACTCCGTGTCCAGTCCCACCTCTCTGGGGGTCGTGCCCTACATCAGCAGCGAGCAGAGCTACTACCGGACCGGCGCCGGTTACACCGGGATGCCCGCGCCCATGAGCGTGTACTCGCACGCCGCGCACGAGCAGTACCCGGCCGGCATGGCGCGCGCCTACGGGCCGTACGCGCCGCAGCACCCGGCCAAGGACCTGGTGAAGCCCCCCTACAGCTACATCGCGCTCATCACCATGGCGATCCAGAACTCCCCCGAGAAGAAGATCACCCTGAACGGGATCTACCAGTTCATCATGGACCGGTTCCCGTTCTACCGGGACAACAAGCAGGGCTGGCAGAACAGCATCAGACACAACCTGTCCCTCAACGAGTGCTTCGTCAAAGTCCCGCGAGACGACAAGAAGCCCGGGAAGGGCAGCTTCTGGACCCTGGACCCGGACTCCTACAACATGTTCGAGAACGGCAGCTTCCTGCGGCGCCGCCGGAGGTTCAAGAAGAAGGACGCGCAGCGGGACAAGGACGACCGGGACCGGCGGGACAAGGAGCCCGGCGCGCGCGGCGCGGCCCGGGACCAGGACCAGGACCCGCCGGGGCCGGGTCCGCAGCCCGTGCGGATCCAGGACATCAAGACCGAGAACGGCACGTGCACGCCCCCGCGGGCCGCGACCCCGAACCTGAAGACCGAGAGTCCGGACAGCAGCGGGGCGTCCAGCCGGTCCATGAGCCTGGACGGAACCGATCCGCACCAGAACCCGGCCTTCAGCGTGGACACCATCATGACGTCCCTGCGGGGGTCTCCCCAGGCAGAGCTGTCCCCCCCTCGGACAGGGATCCCCCCCTCACTGTCGCTCAACTACTCCCCGAACCAGAACCAGAACCAGAACCCGGCCTACAGCTCCCCGACCTGCAACCAGAACCTCCTGAGCAGCTCCAACACGTACCAGTGCAACATGCAGGCCATGAGTCTGTACACGGGGGAGCGGGGCTCGGGGGGGCACCTGGCCCCCTCCTCCACCCCGGTGGACGAGGCCCTGCCGGACTACTGCGTCAGCACGACCACCGCGTCCCCGCTGGGCCAGGAGGCCCACCAGCACGCGCACCAGGGCCGGCTCGCGTCCTGGTACGGGGACCTGGGCCACCTGGGCCCGGGCTACCCGGGCCAGCAGCAGAACTTCCACTCGGTCCGGGACATGTTCGGGTCCGCGGGCAGCGGGACCAGCAGCTGTCAGATGGCCTTCCCGTCCGGACAGTCCCTGTACCGAACCTCTGGAGCCTTTGTTTATGACTGCAGCAAGTTCTGAGTCCGGCCCGGACCGGACCGGACCGGACCGGACCCACATGGACTCTGATCTCTTCTCTTTATTTTTCTGGACTTGCTTCTTGTGGAAAAGGACAGAAGTTGTTTAAACTCAACAAACACGTAAGTTGGATTTTTCCCGCGCTTCGAGTCTTTGATGTGTTAATCTGAGATTATTTAATTTATTTCAGCAACAGGAAGTGATTGTTCAGGTCCAAACACTCCGAACTGCTTGTTTTTGTACAGAAAACATTTTGTAGCCAAACTGACTCTTATTTTTGTTGTTTTCTTTGTTTGTTTGTTTACATCTTTACTCTGAACCATTAAAGTTTGTTTTGTTTAATAAAATCCAGATTAATGATTTAAGTGACAAACTTTAATGATTTTTCAGATTGAAACTGCAGAACTCACCTGCAGCTCTCAGCTCGTGATGCAAACACCTGCGGGAAACACGCGGGCACGCGCGGCAGTCATTATGAAGCGCGCGCTTCCGCTCGGGGCTTTCAGGGTCTCGCGGCTCCGTGAAGCTGCAGCTGTTTGGGTCGGAACCGGTTGAGAGGAGCAGGTCCGGATCCCTGAGGGTCCCCGCGGCACGAGGACCGCGCGAGACCTGAGGGGGCGGGCTCGGTTCTGTAGAACCATCAGAACCAGTCAGATGTTTGTTTGTTTTCACCTCCTTCATGAGTCTGAACCTCCTCAAACTCAACTCTAAAGATAAATTTAAGATGACGTCATCGAGTTGAAGCTCCTAAAGCTTCAAAATAAAATGTTTTTATTATAAAAACTTAAACTGTAACAG